AGCCCATATCACGATCAGAAAAGGGTTTGGGTTTGAACTTGGGATTTTGTTTGTTGGTTTTTAACATTTCACAGCATCATTTTCCCATTTGGATTTCCTCTTCTTTGTGAAATCCCACTTCTAAAGCCTATTTAAGGCAATTTTTCACCCCCAGTGGACGTTGAAAGGTTGCAATAACCATAGTCATGATTTGGAGATAGACTTAACTTCAGCCTTTAACTCCTCTGTGGTGGGCACAGCATTCACCCCAAATTATTTCTTTGTTCTCCTTAACCAGCATTTCTCCCATGCAAGTTGTATACTGAACCTTGACCTATGGATACAGGGAAACTGGTTTACTTGGAATTAAATTTGCACCACATAAAAGAGGAAGCTCTGTTAATTGGCCTGACGGAGGGCCATGCTGCAATGTCAGAGAGAAATTCTAGCAAAGTAACAGAGCTACAGGACATCCCAAAACCAAAACCTCTGAAAATCTGCCAAAGAAGGTCACTCAGAACCCTAACACAGAAGTAACCACACACAGAGCAAGAGGTCTGCCCCAGAGATCAACACAAAGCTGACACTATTCCTGTCCTCTTCCATGTGGGATGTGAATGGGAACAAAACAGCTTAGCAGGGTCCTACAGCTGGGCCAAGCCAGGGCTGCAAACTCTTTATGGTCTCTTTGGATAAGGTCAAATGAGGGCTGTAAAAAAGTTGTTCTGAAATATTTATAGGCCTAAGGGCTCAGTACGTGGCTGGTTTCTGTGGAGCAGTTTGTTGTTCAGGGGTTTAAGGGAAGGAACAGGGCTGCTGGGAAGTTTTCAATGCTCTTACCCTTATCCCAAAAAAGAAAGGATAAAAGCACTGAACTTATTATTCAAAGATGTGTTTTGAGAGGCTCAGTACAATATTGTCTTCCCAGTCTGAAGCAGAAGATTTCAAGGCTAAGAAAGGGCTCCCTCTGGAGAAATATTACCAGCTTCTGAAACCCTACAGCCAACCAGAGCCTGCTCCAGCTGCCGTCCTGCCTGGGGCACTCCACCACCGAGACGGGCCGAAACCCTGGGAAGATATTTCATCCCTGGGGTAAGTCTCTTTACTTTGCTAGAGTTGCAAAAGAGAGGAACGAAGCCACTTAGGATCTGGCTCTGGTCTCGTTGCAATTAGGTCTGTTTATATTTACTAGATAGCTCTTTTGTTTGTTTTCTACAGTAAATAAAAAGCTTTTCAGGGAAACACAACCTCTTGGTTCTCAGAGAGAAACCACCAACGTAAAATCCAGAGTGGACAGCAGCTGCATCCAGCTGTGGTGGCAGCAAACTCCCAAGGCTAGGGTAAAGCCCCACTTAACTGGGTGACAAGTCTGAAGGTGGGTTCCATAGTTCCTACAAGCTGTGAGAAGGGGAAGGGTATTATTTCATTAATTTTCAGCAGACTCTGTTCCTCTGATCTGACTCACCTGCAGCCCATATAGGGAAGGCACTGAGGGTTTGTGGCCACAGGTTGTTTTGAGCTGATAAGCAAAGCTCTTAGAAATATGTGTGTTGTCCCTCATCTTACATTCATGATACAGAAGGGGTTCACGAAACTGCTCTGTGGAGAGACTTCTCATTTTAAGCGCTCAGATTTTAACTGCAGAAAGTTCTAGCTGAGCTTAAGGCTGGAAAAAGAGGAGCCCATGGGGCAATGGTGGTGACATCTTACAATAGTTAGCTGGGCTGGAGAATTCTCTACAAACCCCTCTCACTGCAACATCTCAACGAGCTGCACCAGGAGTCACAGCTGATGCTAACCTCTTATTTGGTCTGTGGGTTAGGCACTGGTCAGCACAGAGCTCTTCTCTAACTGGAGTCTCACCACATTTTTACAAGGGATTTGCATCTCCACTGGAAAACACGTAGGAGCTGCAGGCCAAGAAAGCTTGAAAACCACTGCACCAGTCTACTAAAGCAGAAACTCTCACATTTTCTCCCCCATAATTACATTTGCTTCAGGTTTGCACAACTCCCATTTCAAAAGCTTTGGCACCGGGCAGGACTCATTCTTCTCTAAGCTTTCTAATCATTGCTCTTTTTACCCCCTGTTCCCTGACTTTCCTGGAGGTCAGACCCCCGTGACCCGTACCTGATGGCACTGCTGCAGCACCTTGACCGCGACATGATGCGGGTCCTGGCGAGGTCTCCTGGTCCTGGGCGCAGCCTCCTACACACAGCACTGCAGGTACTGGGGAGCAGGGACCAGCAGCCTGTGGTGTGGGCAACTGCTGCCATCTCCTGGTCTTCTGGAGACTGATTTCGGGCCGGAAAAAGCTGAGGCAGAATCAGTGAGGTCAGGTGCAGTCATTTAGTCATTTACACATAAATTTAGTCATTTAGTCATGTACACATAAATGCACGTGCGTGCATATATATAGATGTTGATATTCACACCTATTTTTATAGGAGAAACAAGTGCTGAACAATAAATTTATATATCACTTGTAATTTTTTCAAATGGAATTTTGTGGGTTAGTTTAGTAATAACTGCATATGATTAACGTGTTAAAAATTATATATAGGCCCTGTTTGCCAAGACAGCTGCAAGTTATTCACTTAATTCATAGAATCATAGAATCATTCAGGTTGGAAGAGACCTTTGGGATCATCGAGTTCAACCATCTACCCTACTCTACAAAGTCCTCCCCTACACCATATCCCTCAGTACCGTGTCTAAAAGTCCCTTAAACACATCCAGGGATGGTGATTCAACCACCTCCCTGGGCAGCCTGTTCCAATGCCCAACCACTCTTTCTGTGAAAAACTCCTTCCTAATGTTCAGTCTAAACCTACCCTGTTGGAGTTTGAAGCCATTCCCTCTCATTCTGTCGTTAATTACCTGTGAGAAGAGACCAGCACCAACCTCTCTATAGTGTCCTTTCAAGTAGTTGTAGAGAGTGATGAGGTCTCCCCTCAGCCTCCTCTTCCTCATACTAAACAGTCCCAGCAATTCTCCTCACCCACTGAGAACAGTCAAAAAAAAATATCTGTGGCAACCCCTTTGATTAGTTCTTTTTATTACACACACATCTACTCACAAAAAAGTGGTCTGAGAAACACAGACTCACTTGATATCAGTCACAAAGTCATGTTTGTGCATTGGCAGGTGCTCAGTCTCCAGCACTTTCTGCCACAAGCTGGGAAAACAGAGCATCCTGTCCCAGCACCAAGTGCCTGGCCAAGTTGTTTCCCTTCCCCTGATTTTTGAACAAGCGTGAAGTCAGATTGCCACATCTGATCTCTACTTTAAGAGTCCTCAAACCAGCGTCTGAGGTATAGCAGCACTGATAAAATGATGGGCCAGCTTGCCATAATCTAATTCAAATCATATTCCCAATATCAAGTCACTTCACAATTCGGACACATCACTCAGACCTATTGCTGAATGTAGTGGCTGCTGTAATTGCCATCGTTTCCAACCTTCTTCCTCCACCGGGTAACCTTCTGTGACAGCTTGGGTGAACCTACACATCCAGGGAATCTGGGTCATTTCTTGGTAGCTACGAGAATCTGTGCCAGAAACTCCACACAGTGAGAAACGTGAGATGGTCAAGGTAGAATCATCAACACAGAAAAACAGGAACACAGATTTGCGAAGGTTTTCTTATCGTCCAGTCCATCCTATGATATCCCAGGCAGCCATGTCACATAATCCTGCTCTTAAATTCCCTGCGCCCTACTTTGAAATTAGTCAGGGGTTGTTTTTTTTTTCATGCACAGTATTTACCAACAACCTTGTCTGCACATTCAAATACAGGATTTTTCCTGCTTACTGAGATTTCAGTTTTACGCAGAATGTCAACTAGCCTGGAGTAAGGACCACTCAAAAACACCTCCAAGGCTTTCAGTGCAACTCTCTGACCTTTATTTGAAAGCCCACTTCTTAGAAAATATTTTTTGATGGTGTTTGCTAATACACAGTTTCCTACATAAAGGCAGAACGCACACAAAACACTTACGGGTTGTTGACTCCATAGCTCTGTACTCTCCAGTCAGACGTGAGCATTGCAAAATTCACAGCTGGCAGCTCCCACCTGAGACCAGTCCTCACCAGCTCCTCCAGTCTGCTGCTGGCTTCAGTTCATCCAGTGGGACCCCAGCTCAGATGGGTCCTGTGGGACCTGATGGAATCTGAGCTGAGGAAAAATGCCTGATTTTGTCTCCTGATGATGAAGGTACATTCGTGGTTCCTTTATTACATCTCCAATACCTTCTGGCTCTTTATCTCTCACTTGAATATTAGCTCCAGCCTGTTAGATATACAGTATATGTGAAGTGAGGACTAAACACTGATTGACCTGACGAACTTTCAGCCCCTCTATGTCCTATCAAGAAGCCAGAGTTGCCTCAGAATCAGAACCCTGCAGACCTTCAGTGGATCTGGGGGAGCAGACAATGCTGCATTTTATGGAATACATGAAGTTGAAATTCATGTGTAAACCCCATGTGCTGCCAAAAAGCCTCCCCTGCTTATGCCATGAGGTCTTTTCCCACGCAGCTGATGTTGTGCAAGTCTCTATCATCCTGCTCTGAAAGCACAGGTTGGATAGTTAGATTTATACATGGAACTGCAAAATAAGAGCATACATCCTTAGAAATACATCCAGAAGAGTGTAGGCTATGGTCAAGACCTGTGTCAACCTACAAGAAGCTGCTTTTTTTTTTTTTGGACATATTCTTGTTACAAAGCAGGGTTCAGCTTTCCAGTTTTGTGTGGCACTTAAGCATATTTCATGCTTTGTCCACCAGAAAACTTTTCAGGATATATAGGGTTTCTCATGTAGTGTGTTAGGAAGTGCACAGTGTGATAAAATGGTGGTAGAAGGGAGACTTGATTGAGGTGGGATTGTTTGAGAGAGCGAGGACATGCACATAGCAAACATCAGAGGAAGTCCCTACATTGTAAGGGTACAAAATCACCCAAAACAGCCCTTGAAAAAGACTCAAAGTGCACATTAAACACAAACACTACAAGAGTCATTCTTTTTCTTCCAGCTTTTTAATGTGACAGAGAGAACAAAAACAAAGTCCATTGGAACAGCTGCAATTTCCAGTGACAACCAGACACAGATCAAATAAAAAAAAAAATAAAATAAAAGAAGAAAGGTTTCAAATTAAGAAAAGGAACCAAGGGAGTGGAATTGGCTATTTCCCACACAGAGCTGACAGGACATCTAAATGAAACATTTCATTAAATGCACGACACTGGGTGTTATTTACAGTGGAACTTGCAGTGTGTACATTCATACAGCACTAGCATCACATAGAGCAAAGAAATGTCTTTCATTTTGTTTCCTTTGCAGTTCCCAGGCTTGATTCTTTCTAAAAGCAGCATTTGCTAATACAAAGGTGAGAAACTGAGGAAGAAACTTGGTGGAAAATATAATGTATGGTGCTCAAATCTACATAAACCTAAACATATACTCTCCAGTTTTACATGTCCTTTAGAAAGTCAAAGGACACAAGGAGGGAACATAAATGGACCTAGGGCCTCCTTAATTGTATCTGGTTTTGGAGGTCTCAAAGCAGGACCTGGAGGAGACTTGCAAGCCTGCAGAAAGCTCAAGTCCGTGCTCTGTTCCTGTGTGAACCCAGCCTTGGGGCTGGACTGCTCCCAGGCTCAGGGAATATCCCTTAGAGAACCTCTCCGGAATTGCAGGTGGACATTGGGTGGCCTGACCTCTCTCCAGAGTGCAGAACATCTGGCTCTGGATTTGGGTTTTCCAAGTCTTCCCTTTTCTTAGTCCAGAAGATCCACACACGGCCGTTTGTAAGTCACACAGCATTTCAAGGGGATGAGGATCATGCGGTCAAGGAGGGGATCACCCCACCCAGCCCAAGCTGCAGCCACCACCAGTAGGATGTAGCAGAGCCAAAGGCAGTGGCAGGACCTGTCCTGTGTAACTGAAGTACAGGAATAGGTATACAACAACCAGTTAAATTAACAGGGAATATGAGGAGGCAGAACTCTCATTGTAATAATAGTATCCACAGTGTTTTGTGTTCCTCTAAATGTCTGTTCCTGCATGCTCAGAAAATCAGTAACGAACTCCTCCTGTGACCCCAATTACACCACGGTGCAGCTAAAGACATCAGAGCAGGCCAGCTCAGATACCCTACACCCACCTTTCCCCTGCCACAATGTCCTTGGAAGCGGCTGTACCGGTGTGCCATGCACGCGTGAAGAGGTCCAGCTGTCCTCTAGCAGAGATCTTTGGGATTTAAGGCAAGTCCCCTGTGCCCCTGTTGCAGTAAAGTTCATGAATCCAAGGAAGCAGTGCTCTGCAGAGGTCAGCAGCGGACCCGTGGTCAGCAGTTTTCTCTGTGGATGGTCCAGTGTATCCAAGACGAGGAGACTGGTCACCGCAGCAAACATAGGCAGGAGGAACCACTGGAGGAGGCACGCTGGCCCTTGCACTGCAGGTATAATGCTGATTCTTACAGTAGAAATAAAGCTGAGCCATCGCAGGAGGTGCCCAATGAGAAATGTCCCCTTGCACAGTGTTCTGGGGCTCTGCGGCTCAGGCTCAGCCCTGCAGGTAGCCCACGGCTTGAAACTGAGACCCACATCGAAACACAGCCAGCGCTGAGGGAACTGCACCCAACAACCATGTTGCTCTGGAGAGCAGTAGTGTGAAGCCTGCACTGATTTAGACCATGACAAGGACAATAAACAAACACATCAGGAGTGTTGACTAAGCCTTGTTCATGCTGAAGTTGGATGGGAGATGTCAGCCCAGGTTTCACAAATGCCTGAGCTGGAGCTGTTGCCCTGGATTTCTCTGTTACGGAGGCAGAGGAGCAGGGCCATCCAGGGCAACCCATCTTCTTCTCAGCATGGTGCCTGAGCATGGTCCCAAATATCGTCTGTGCCTTTCAACCAAGAATAATGGGAACCCAGAGTGATAAGTTCAGATCCAGACATCTCTCTCAGAGGTGTCTAAGGCTAGGCAATATGGGTTCTCCTTGGCTTTTCCTTTCTTCATTCTCTCTTGATTACTGTCCTTTCCCAGGACCTTGTGTACCAGCTGCAGTGGGTATTTGCCCTTTCCTATTAGGTCATGAAGTCCCTGGTCAAGTCAGGGGTAGGAGCCTTGTCACGACACACATGCATCATCCCCTGACCCTCAGGAGACTGACCCACACATTCCAGGGGTGCAAAGGGTTTCCTAGTACCTGGGTGACATTGACAACAACATCCTATTGCTCTTTACCTTGTCCCAGCTAATCTCTCAAAGGTGAGGTTTAACAGCCTGTGAAAGAGCTATTCCGTACAGAACAAAGGTTTCTAAGATTTGATAATGTTTCATAATATTACCTTGCCATTTCTATCTCCTCGAGACCTTAATTTCTTCCTTCTCTGAAAATCAGCAGAGAGGTTTTGCAAAATAAACTAAGTCATTAGTGTCACTGTACAATGTCAATGGAGAACACAAATAGTCAGGTTTACTGTCAGAGCACTGGATGACATTAACTAAGAGTGCTTCGTAAAATAAATAAAGATAAATTCTGGCTCCACAGAGCAGCACAACAGAATAGTCCAGAAAATGAAACCAACTTTTTGTCCTCAAAATGCAACTGGCGTGCACAACCCAACAAAATGGATGAAACATAAAGACCGTGGTGAACTTTTTCTGTTGAAATACATATTTAGCTGCTTCTCACTATGCAAAAGGACTAGACATTCTTAGAGAAAAAACCACACATTCTGGGCTGTGATTCTCAACAGAAGCTGTGAACCGCTGCCAAAGGACATAATTACATTCACTCCTACCTTAGAGAAGGAACCTTGCTGTTTTGAAGGGAAATCAAAAGAAGGCCCCAAGCTACCCATAAAATGAAGAAATGAGCCATAATAAGCTCGGTTATTACAGAATCTTGTGGTTTTATCAATTTCATAAACCCCAGAATAAATCTCCAAAATGCCAAAAAGCCCATTGTAGCCTGGCTGCTCCGGCAGCGCTTATCCCTGATTGACACAATGATAAAAATGATGCTTATTAGAGGGTTTTGCCTCGGTGGCCAGGGTTTGCTTTTTGTGATCTGACCATGCTCTGTGTCCTTCATCTGTCCTCTGGAGCAGCACCAGCAGTGACTCCCCCAGTTTCTTAGGGCTGGTCCCCGTGTGAGCTGTTAGTGTAGAGTGTGTTAGTGTGGCCGTGTTAGACTTCAGTCCTGCTGGATTTCAGGGATCCAAGGAAAGGTAAATTGGAAGATCATTAGCAAAAGTACAAAAGAATTTTTTTATGTCACAAAATATCCTGGTGGGACAAACTCCCTGCATTATATGACAGTTTCTGATCAATTCTCATCTATTGCTGAGCTTGTTGAAAGGGACTAATTAGCGCTATCTAGTCAATTGTGAGCTTCAGTGTGCAATTTAACAGCATGCCTCTCATTCCTGCTTCCCAAGAAAGAATATCCAAAAATACACAACCCACTTAAGTCTTATGATTAAAAGGGCATATGAATTTAAAAAATGATCTTTACAGGATATCCAACTTAACTGTGCCACTTAATGGAGAATTTAATGTCCTGTACAGTGAAATCTTGCTGCGTGCATTCCCTGTGTAACAAGTTAAATGGCTTTAAGTAACTGTGCTTACAGTGTTTCAATGAGACCCGAGTATATAAGAAAATCAAGCATCATATTCTTTAAATAATATGGCTAAAATGCTGGTAAATTCACAGTTACCATACTCTAGGTATTAGACAAAAAGTCTCCTATTTACACTGGATAATATGTACACATTTGGTTTGTGGAATGCTCCAACATCGTACCGGTTTCTCCTCTGTGAAAGTTGTAGGAAAAAACCTCTTAATCATCATAGAAATATATATTCCCAGCCATTAACACATTTAAATATTTGGTGTCTGGATATAAAGAATGAAGTGCCACTAAGCTGGTCGTGACTCCAGGTAATCTTGAATTAGTGGGATTAGTTTTTAGTGTCTCTCTTAAGATCTTCTTAAGGGTGCAAAATTAAAAATTGCGAATTTCAATAGCTGACCACTTCAATCTGTGTATGTATGTTTGCAAGAATGTGTAAATACATATGTATATATATAAAATTTTGTATATATTTCTCTCCCAGACCAAGAAGGTGCCTAGTGATTCTCGATACCCAAGTGAAGACAGCAAAGGACTTTGAAACCCTGATTCCTCTGAGAGAGCCAAGCACCCACCCTCATATCCTCCAGAAATCAAGACTCTCCCACTCTTTTGGGTGGTTCAGGTGGTAACAGCCAGGGTCAGTAGTCATGTTGGTAGCTCTCATCCCTGTTGCTGGAGCTCACCTACAGTAGGTTTGTTACCTGCCTCCCCCCTTGGATGCCCTTCGTGTCGAAGCACAGCTGATAGGAATTGCCAGGGAGTGCTGGGCAAGGCAGGCAGCATCTCACAGCTGGGCAAAGGCGTGGAAGGGGGTCCAGATCTGTCCTCCCGTGTTGGACACACTCACACCCACGCAGGGGCACACGTGTTCGAAGCCGCTGCTCGTGTCCTGTGCCCTCACACCGGGGTGGAGAGGGAGAGGGTGGCCTCCCAGCGTAGGCAGGGTTAAACCCAAGCTCTGCAAGGGGTGTGGAGTAGCTGCATGCACCGCTCGTGGCTGTAAAAAGGTCAGAAACTAGGGGTTTCGTTTTTATCCCTTTGGGCTCTGCTTTCCCTCTTGCCCTCTCTCTTTGAGGTATCGGCACAAGAGTTTAGAAAAAGGACATTTTGATTTTTCCAAACACGGCTCTGGTTTTTGTTCTTCTTCTACGTCCAACCCCCCCCGACCCCCCTGGCCTTGGCTGCTCACATCAGGACCTGATCTCGAGTCTCTGGCAGGCGCAAAGCGAGCAGGCCACCTCCAACCAGAGCAGAGGAAGCCAGAAGAATGGGAACCACCTTGGTTATCCCTACGAAGGAGGAAAAGATTGAGTTCCCCAGGATGGCACCAAACTTGCAAAGCCCATTGAGGATGCCAAAGGCTGTTGCCCTGCAGGGAAGAAAAGCAGAAAGCAATGGTTAGGAGGGAGGTTCTCAGCATAACTACAGAAGATCTGGATGGGTAATTTTGTGAATGCTCTTACGTTGCTCAGGCTACGCTTCTAGCAAGTAAAGCCAGGCAGAATAATTAAATACATAAATAGATGTTGGGGGTTTGCATGTCTGTGTGTAGTCATTTCTCCTTTTCATCTCAGCTTCTCCCTAGCCCTAGAGTGGCCCGCTACGGCAGCTTTTGTCCTTTGCACATTCAGCAGGACACAACCTGCTCTAGAACTTGTCAAAGCCCTTCCAAGCCCTGGCTGGAGTGGGTTGTCACTAGAGAAACAACCTGGGCTCTCCTCCAAATTCTGCTTCACCCAGTAGCTAAAAGCACGCTGGCTTCAAAGCACAGTCCTTCTCCTTACCTTGTAGCTTCCCTCAACAGCCTGAAAAAGGTGAAAAAGGCAAAAAAATGGCTTATAATAGTTCCACAAGGAAAGATTTCATCTGCAGCACGTTCTCTCAAAGTTTCCTGTGCTACCTCATCTCCCAAATCATTCTGCACACATGGTTGTCTCCAGGTTGTGGAGGGGAAGGCTGTCACGGTGGTGAGCTATGACAAGAGGCTGTGGGATACAGTCTGAAACGCCAGACCTCCATGTATATCGATGGAAATGATAGAATCCATATTTTATCTGCCTGCAATTTCCATAAGCCCACGTGACTCCCTGCCTACAAGCCACTGTGCATGCAGAATTATGCTTGCAAATGTCTGTGCTGATCCAGTATAGCCACAGGACCACCCAACCCTTAAGGATTGGTGAAAATAATAATAAAAAAATACACCTCCCCCATCTATATGTATCTAGAGTGACTTTTTCCATCAGGAACCGAGAGAACAAAGTCAGAGGGTGGAGGGTAAAAGGAGAAATATTCTGAGCACCTTTTGTCAGTGGGGTAGAGCTCCACAGTGATCACGTCCAGGGCATTCCAGGCAGCGATGCTGGCCCCGCAGAAGAGGCACTGCCAGCCAATCATCGCTGACTCGCTGTTGCCGAAAAAGAGGAAGAAGCAGCACACTGCTGAGATCAACATTGAGCCACCTATGGGGGGGGAAACCAAGAGAAAAATGTTGGCACCGGTTTCCCCTGTCCACAGTTGAGCAAACACATTTGTTGATAAGGATGGCTTTCAAGTGACGGCGCTTCACCCCGAAACAAATTAAAACTGCAAGAATCCAAAAATACCTTGATGCTGCCTATCTGTCATTCTCTGATGCTGGAAACCAGCCTGAAAATGTTCTCAATGACCATCTGATCTTGCTGATAGTCCTGCTCTACGGGGAATCTGAAGACAGGCTTTTTTAGGCACGTTTCCAGCATCTCAGACTTCCAGATGGACCCAGAAAGAGCAGAGGCAAGTAAACATGAAAGTCAATGAGGAGGAAGAATCATTATGAAGGTTTTCCGACTTGAGTTTTGAGTGAAGAGCTGGTGCATTTCATATCATATTGAAATCACTTGACACATTTATAGTCTCAATTAGGATAATTTACAGTCAATTGTATGAAGCACTTGAGGTCTCTTTTAATTATAAGAACATCATTAGATTTCATGGCACATTTGCACAGGAGCCATAATTTTATGAACACCACCGGGGGAGAAAGTGAGAGCGTTCATGCACAGTTAGGCACAGTTCAGATTCAGAAATATTAATGGCTACATCACTGCCTTCTACTCCGGTGGGAATTTTCACCTGAAAGATGCAATTTTTTTCAAAATCAAAATATCTTTCACTGGAAAGTTCTGTTGTTGCTGAAACATCTCCATTTACTACCAGGAAATTGAACAATTTTTTTTGTTTGTTTGGGGTTTTCTGAATCAATTTGACACCCTCCAAAATAATTTGGATGCTGAGCTGGAACTAAAATGCTTCATTTTGGCCATTATGTTGCATTTTGCTGCTGCAGTGCCCTGCCTATGAAAAGCTGCCTTGCAGGACTCCATATCCATTTCTCCCCTGTGGTACCTGGCCAAACTACATCCCCTGCTGTGCAGTGAGGACATTCTCTCTGCCGAAGAGGTAGAGTGTAGCATTAGGGTCACCCTCTGTGCACCAGATCTGACATTTGGCACAGGAGAAGATTTAGTAGAACATGAAAAAACTCAAGTCCCAGTGAGGCACATAACACAAAAAGCAAAATTCAGTTTTCATGTTAAGCTGACCAGAAATAACATGCTCAGCAGAGTGATACGGGTGGGATGCCAGAAGGCTGTTTCAATTGAAAATTCCATAGTGAAACGTTTCAGCGTGTCGTTACTAATTTTTGTCCTGTACTTTTCATTCTGCAGAAGAAATAAACATTTAGGATTCCAGCTGTCATCTCAATTCAGGATGAAGATGCTGAAATGCTGGCATGTTTGCAGGGTGGACAAGCTGATTCTCATTCAGCTTTATTTAATTTATTTCCCACAGACCCTCTGATTTGTTTTGGTCTTTTCCAAATTCACTGCATGAACCTTCATTTTCCTCCCAGCAAACATTATGGACACACAGGTGGGGGTCATCTTCCTTACCTTAACCTGTCTGATGTCAGCATCAGATGGCTAAGCTGACTAAACTTCCCCCTGTTCTCAGGAGAGATAGGTGAGCTCAAGAGAGTGAGTCATCCCTTCCCACCGAGCCACATGCCTGATTTTATTACATTCATTTGGCTGTCCCCTGAGGCATGATTCCCACTGTACCTGGAAAGCAAGGTCTGAACCCTGGAGGAAGCAACACCAGAAATTCCCAAAGTAATCCTAAAGCTGATAAGGTGATAAATTATTCCAATAATGTTAAAGGGTGGCATCCTGCTTGGCTGTGACATGGTCAGTTAATCTACCGTATGCTCTCTGAGGCTGTTTGTAAAATCCTTTGAAAATCAGAAAACCAAAAGAGGGAACTCCTGGGCTACCACGCAGCTTCACGAAATAATCTTTGTGAATATCCATTGCTACAAGCAAAGTGTTTATGCATTTATACAGAGTGCTCTGGACATCAGCATCAACTCAACAGCGCCAAGAGGTCCTGCTTCAGCTCTGACGCTGCGGTGCTGAGCCCTGGATAAACATACAGGCTTTGACATAAAAGGCAAATTAAAAGGGAGAATGTCACAGATACACAGAAAAGCGGGGTGAGGCGGCGAGGAGCAGGTAACTTGCCCACTGCTACAGAGTAGATCACTTGCCTCACCTTCAAGTCTTTTTACCCTTCTGTTCTGTTTGGTACAGGAACAACTCATCCCCACTTGGCTTGCGTTGGTGTGTGCAGATGCAGTGAGACCTTCATAGTGACCTCAGCTCTTTGCAGAGTCATGCTCCCACCCACAACCTGTGCCATGCACCCATCGTCCCCACTCACCGATCATCTTTATCCTCCCTATTTTGTCCATGAGCAACGCAGAGATTATGTTGCCTGGCAGCACAGACAGACTGCCCAGGAAGCTGACCAGGTAGATCAGGAAATCATTGTCCTCCTCAAAGTCCAGGTGACAGCCTTCCTTCTCCTCCAAAAATGTGCTGTTTATGAGCCTGCAGTTGATGAATTTATGTTCGTAGAGATCTGCGAGGGAAAGAGGCAAAGTGTTGATCCTGCTCGGCTGATCTCCCTTCATACAGCAGCAACAGGACTCGGCATCAAAATCAAATCAGAGATCTGAGAGGTGCTGTTCACTGCTCATCACTCCCATTTTATAACACTTAAAGTACATCACACACACAAACACACAGATCCTTATCATCCTTTCTCCCAGAAAGTTCCTAATGACAGAGATGAGACCATAGCAGGAATCCCATTACCAGTGTTATAAAAGACAGTAGAGATGATGGTGCAGTTTTCAAAGAAGGTCTCACTGGATGTCACATCTTCAAAGTAACATTCCTCAAACAGTGAATCCTCAAATCTCACTTCCTTGAATTTCATGCCAATAAACCTGTGGGGCAGGAAACAGAACTTCAGTCTGTGCTTTAAGGTATTTTCTACACTGTATAGCATGTAATGGCTGTTCCAAGAGACAGAGCACTAATGGCAATTTCTAGGGTCATTTACAGAAAAGGTGTTACTTGAATGCATAACTGTGCTTCCAACTCCATGCTTATACATTTTGTATTTCAGTAGAGATGGGTTTTTTTTTTTTTTTTTTTTTTTAAGAGTGATGGACCTTTTAGGATTTCTGGCAGGTTTTCTATTCCAAAAATAGTCACATCTAAGAAAATGTGCTTCTAAGGCTGAGTGGACACAAAACCTCTCACTTTCAGTACTAGTCCATCTGAAGAAGACATAATTTCTCTCAGTGCATGGCATTTTCTTTGTGAACTGACCTTGCTGCCTTCCTTATTCTGCCCCTTCCTCCAGCATAAATACAAACAGACATAATCAGGAGCCCGTTGAGCCATTTGGTGAAAGGCTTTTGACAGTTGTTTAAACTCAAAGTGATTTTTAAAGCAAAAATGCAGTAGGGTTTCTGGAGAGAGTGGGGAGATTATCTGAGTTCTGCTTGTAACCATCTCTGTTGGAGAAATATTGCTTATCGTGTAATGAAAACAGATTACACTAAAAATAATCAACTGTGTCAGATGATTGATGTCTCCTCTGATGCGAAGCTTGACATGTCTGACCTGCCTGCCTGAAGGATGACACAATATTGATTTACCTATGAAATTTTGCAGGGACACTGAGAAGATGTATTGGTTAATGCACAGGCATGTTTGGAGGATGTAAGGAGCTATTAAGAGCAAGCATTATTGCTCTAGTTAAAGAGGCCATGACTGTCACCAAATAAAAAGCCTTCTAACATATACCCAGAAACTTAATTGAATTGAGCACTTACAACACAGTCGCGCATGATGGCTGTTTACACCATTAAATGAGCACTGCAGGGCTTCTCAACTGAAGCTATTAACAGATATTATTGATGTTCAAAATACCGCAAGAAGACTGTTCAAGTCTTTTATTCCATGTAGAAGGTCTCATAGGTTACAGCAAAACTTAAGCTGTTCTGCATTTGCTCAGTAATAGCCTGTGATGTATTTACTCCCGAAGGCAGTTAGAAGCCCTTTTCCTGCAGTTTGCGTTCTTAATGTCCAACTTTAAAAGACTCCTGTAGCAATGGACTGGTGTTCAATGGAGTTTTAACTCGCAGCCAAGGGCTAGGGGGATACACAGCTATAAATCATATTGAGGTATGCTCTGGGCATTACTGGAATGTAGTTTGATCAGGTTTAGAGTTTTTGAATTGGAGAGGACCAAGGCAGGAGAATAGTGATGTACATCGCAGTTTTTATGTCCTCATCCTACAAGGTACAGGATGCATCTTGCATCTTTCATACTCAATTCCCAATTAAGTTAATGAAAACTGAGCATCTTCTCTTTGTATGAGTCCCCAGTTCCTAAATTTGATCACCAGACTTTCTTTCACTGGTCTACAGGCAAGGGAATAGGAATTAAGGGGCTAGGTTTGCACCATCAAACACAGCTCCCTGCTGTGAGAAAGGTCTCTGGAAGGACATGGGAATCCATGCTGGGGTCCCCCACTAATGTCTATCAGGTATACACCAAGGAAATGCAGACAAATTGTTTCTGACAAGATAGGAATAACCTGGCTGGGCAGTGAGGTATGGTTTCAACCCCGAAGATTAAAAAAAAAAAAATATCAGTGTTTTGTGTAACACTGAGCATCCAGTGGGACCTCCCCACATGGTGCAAGGCAGCTGGAGCAATATCCTGGCTAATCTATCTGGGGCAATGGGATCTCCACAGAATTTACATAGGGCTATTTTACCACCCATTTTATTGGGATTTAGAAAAGTAATAATAGCCTGCTATTAATCGCTAGTATTTTTATTGCTGTGGAACATAGATTGATTGGGGTCCAGGCTGGATGCCAGAAGAAAAAGCACTAGGCCCAGCCCAAACAGGAGAAGAAAGGAAGAAAAGCAATGATGTTCTACTAGAGTAACCTCACTGATTTCGAAGCACTAAAAGAGAAGGTGACAGACTCCTCTGTGGGGAGATGCCAGCTGGTGTGGGAGAAGCACACCAGTACAACTGGCCATGACACAACTTCCACTAATGGGCTGCAGGATGGAGACCGGGTTAAGTCACGTGGAGGACTTCAAGAAAAAACAGCTTTTTATTTTGAAAATGAGGCAGCAGAGCAGCTTCATTACAAGTGATGGGCTCTCCTACCCAAGACCAGCAGATGTCAGTGTGTGCTAAGGAAAGAGAAGTCACCTCTGCATCCAGAGCTGCCCAGCACAGCCAGGTAGGTGCCTGCTGCCCTGCTCCCAGCAAGGGCCTGTGTCCAGCCTGCTGGACACAGAAATCCTCACAGGCATCCCATTGGGTCTGGAGATGCGAGTGGATGAGGCAGAGTGTGTGAAAAGCAGGAGAAAAAGGGTATTTGGTCAGTGAAAAACTGCCTTTGAGATTTGGGATTTGAGACACTGTGTCCAAAAGAACAACAGAGATTTCCAAGTTGGTAGAAAATGAAAAGAAAAAAAGAAAAAAAAAAAAAAGAGAGAGCTTTCTGGAAATGTGTTTCAGTTTGCATGCATCAAACCAAGTTCTGTTCACTTACTTATCTTTTCTGTATTCTCCGTTTCTATGGATCTGGTTTTCCAGGGTGAAATTAAAGGTGAAGTGTGACACTTCTTCCTCATCAAAGATCTTCACTCGGGATTCATATGCCTCTTCTTGGAAATACCGGATCATATCAGGGAACCAGACAATAAGGCCATAGTAACTATAGCAGGATGGGAGACACACATTAGGGATAGAAGATAGTGGCACTGCAAATATTGCAGAGCTTTTCCAATGATCTACTTCATAGCTTGCAAATCTGTTAAATTCCTAATTCAAATGCACTTCTGATACAAATTCTTGCTCAGCTCTGACAAAGGACCACACAAAGTGTCTCCCTACTCTAAGCACTCAGCTGATCTCAGAGGCACGTTGAGCCATTACTGTTCACTTAAATCAGGACAATACATTCAATTTTCACTCCTTGGTGAGGAAATAAAGCAATGTGTTATCATGGCTGTCCAAGATACTAACAAAGCAGTAAGAAATTAGGAAAAATCCCCCAGAAGGCCGATTTCTGGAAGTGCCAAGTTTAGGTGAGGGAGACAAAATTCACCTGTAGTTTAGATTAGGTTCACCCAAATAGTTTTGATCTAGACTAAGGAACAGCTGAGAATGAGGTAAAGCTGTGTCTTTTTTGGTGTGGACAAGATCAAATGAAAGTTCTAGAGGTGAAAAAGTTGATATATTACTGCCCTACTCACCACTTCTCAAGTCCTGATTTGTTCAAAGCACTTTGTACTCTCATATAAGCAATCACATCGATCAATTGTTCATAGGAGAGCAAGGATTAGGACACAAAAACTCTCTAAAGTAAGACCAGGATTAATTTTGTAATTGTTTATTTAAAAGTGTAAATAATTATTCAGACCCTGAGAGCCCACTAGTTTCCTGAAAAAGTTAAAGAAGTACCTTACCTTAAGGCCATTGTAAACCAAACTACAGCCAGCATCAGTGTGTTCATCCTGTACTGGGCTGTTAAGCAATATAGCACGTTGTCCCAGACCTGCAGATCCACAAGGAGGAATTAGCTGCAAGGACACCCGAGCAGTCACTTGGCAGATTAATTTCTGCGTGCATCATGAATCTAATGTCAGTAAAAAGGGCTCACTGGGGGAAGGTCAGATGTGTGGTTTCTACTCAGTGTTAGTTCAAAATTATATTTATCAAGATAAATGGCTTACAAAAGATCACTTATTCAGCTACGGGGCAGGGTACTTGATCTGAACCCTTGGTAATGAGCTGGAGTGCATAACTAGGGCTGGGCTAATACAGTATCTCTCTCAGGTTGTATCAGTAAATGTGCATATGAGCCTGTTCTCAGACCCTCTGAAAGTTTTGTCTTTTCAAATATATTTATGGTCTCAGGGGTGCTTGCCAACTGAGCTCTAAAGCTCACTGAAGAGCTGGCACTTTAGGAGGGGTAAGATGAACCCAGGTAGGGATGAAGCCAAACAGAACAGAATAGGAGGTAGAGCAAGACCTGCTCTTCTTGAACTATTACAGAAAATACTGCCAGGAACATGAGGTGATGTAACTCCTCATGCTCTTGCCACATAAATGTAGTAATAGTATAGCACCTGCATTGTTATTAATTAAGAAAGACTCTCCTCCACTTTAAGCTCGTCCTCTAGACTAGAAGATCTAGCAAGAAGACCTGCTCTTCTTGAACTATTACAGAAAATACTGCCAGGAACATGAGGTGATGTAACTCCTCATGCTCTTGCCACATAAATGTAGTAATAGTATAGCACCTGCATTGTTATTAATTAAGAAAGACTCTCCTCTACTTTAAGCTCATCCTCCTAAACTAGAAGATCTAGCAAGGTTTTCCACAAAGCTCTGCATGGGCATAGGTAAGCAGCATAGCATGTGTGAAAGGTTAAATTAGCTGAAGAGACAATACAGCATCGTTAGGAACTCAGTCTCAGCAGGAGCAAGGAGCAAACACTCTTCTGAATCCACTGCAGGTGGTAAATTCACTTAGGCTTGGGGAAGAGGGAATCAATATTTATCTGCCCAGAAGGAGAGTCAATTGCATGGGGCAGTGGCTCGTCCTGGAAGCTCTGCTGTTAGCCCAGCTGGACTACCTTGATGCTCAGAGGGGCATTTTGGGGCCTGGCAGTTTGCAAATGTACACACCTGTGTGGCATATGCAATCAGATCACAGCCCTTTGCGCCTTGATGCTCAGAGGGGCATTTTGGGGCCCGGCATTTGCAGATGCACACACCTGCATGGCATATGCAATCAGATTACAGCCCTTTGAAAACAACAGCAGATTTTTTTTGAGTGAAAGTTGGAGTTTCAAGATCCAATGACCTGAATCAATGAGGCACTAAAGCCCAAAATCTCCTGTGGGATGTTTTTCCAACAGCAGATTTTTTTTGAGTGAAAGTTGGGGTTTCAAGACCAAATGACCTGAACCAATGAGGCACTAAAGCCCAAAGATCAAAACCCTCTCTGAGATGTTTTTTCTTCTCTTTACCTGTTTTAAAGTGGTTGTGATTCTGACCAGCCACCGCTGGTACCAGGTCCCTGTTGAGCTCTGGATTTCAATAAATTCATCTACTTGCTTTGGAGTTTTGATATAGGAAACCTGGAAAAGAAAAAAGGAGAAAAAAAAATGGACTGAAGTTTCCAGAGTTGATCTTGGGTAGTTTTTAAATTCCACTGTCTTCTAGGCATTATTTCCCCAATATCTCTTACTATCTTTTCCTTGAATGTTATTACTAACAATTGAGTTAACTGTTCTAATTACAGCAAGATATTTTATTATAGAAAGAAGTCTGCCCTCCTTCCTTCCTTTCCTCCATCTTTTCCTCTCTTTCTCCTATAGAAAGAAGTCTGCCCTCCTTCCTTCCTTCCCTCCATCTTTTCTCTCTTTCTCAAGCCCTGAAATATTTTAAGTGAATCACATCCACTTCAATCTTTCGGTTGCTGGCTAACATGCCTGTGCACTACCTTATTTCTCTATCCCTTAGATTCCTACTAGAAATTAGGACTAGGCAATTATGGTAAGAAGTATCTCCATGATCAGCCACTTGTATCCACAGCAAACTGTGCCCTCAACTAGAAATTAGGACTAGGCAATTATGGTAAAAAGTATCTCCATGATCACCCACTTGTATCTGCAGCAAACTGTGCCCTCAGGATCTGTTTCTTCAAAGGCAGCTGACAGGAATATTTCTCGTTCAGCACCTTTTAAGTATGACTGGCAGAACTTCTATGACAAATGAATGTATAGAATCCTTGCATCTGAAACTGCATCACATCATCAACTGAGCCCACACTGTGCAATCAATTCGCTCCACCAATCTGAATTTTCAGCTCCGACCACCTGAACTGAACTGCTCAAGAAACCTTAAAAAGGAGTCTCAGAGACTATTTACTCAGTAATTTTAAATAAAGGACTTATTCAAGGAAAGCAGATCTGTTTGTAAACACAAGAAGGAGGTGAAAATTTACTGAATAAATTTCTGACTAGGAACGAGTGCCTTGGCTGGGCTGTGGAGCCTCCGTGTTCCTCTTGCTGGCACCGTTTAAATGTCAGATCTGGGAACCGTCCCGGCACCAGCTGACTCACCACAAACTGGCAACTTCTGGCCTCCCAGAACAACACAAAATCTGACAGTTTGTGCTACACCAGCCGCATTGATCATCCGCCTGTGCCAATGGATGTCAGCAGATCTCGACTCAGCCGGCGCACCATACCTCGAGGTGCCATCCCGAGATCCGCTCGTGCTGGAGCGGTCACGACACTGTTGGATGGAGCAGTGAGCACTAATGGGTGCTGTACAGCTGCTCCCTCATTCTCCTATTCAGACTCCCATAGTGCTCAGCTTAGAGAGATATATATATATATACTATTGAGTTTCAGTCCTCTTTTATTCTGGCCACACAGCAGGACTGGCCAGCCCAGCTCGGTGTTACAACAAAGTTAGGTAGGGATTTTGAGAAACAGTTCCTCTCGCCTTTGTTATCAAGGTCCACATTAATCAAACAGTCAACACCCCGAAAATAACACATGCTCATTAAGTTCCTACCTGACCCTGCACACAGTTGTCATACACTGATATTAGTCTTTAATTTTCCTGAAGGACCGCTCCTGAAGTGCCCTGTTTCATGACAACCCTTATGAACACATAATCTTACTCTCCTTTTTGTTCAAAAACACGTTTTACACACAGCCATATCTCCTTATCTCCATTCTTTAAAAGCATGTGTCCTCTTACCTTTAGAAGCACAAGTCAAGAGCTGTTTCCTGGCCAGCTCACTGGGAGTTTACCACTGAATTATAGTAATTTGCAACTAACCCCAGCATAAACCTTTTACCTGATTTTACTATTAACAAAGTCTACTGGTGTGACCTTTTTCACAACAAGCAGCAGACTAATGAGTAATAGCCACTCATCCCACTTTCCCTTGGAGAGATTAAAGATTGGGTATGGAGCAGGTGGAGTTTAGGAAGCTCATTAGAAGGTACGTGAAGTTTAATCAGAGTTTGATTAGAAGCCAGAATGGAGAAAGGAGTGACTCAGATCTCCCACATGACTAATATCTCTCTTATTTGGTTTTAGTCTGTTACACCAGACGAATTAAGCATGTCTCTAATTGGCAAATCACTGGTTTATATGCTGCAGACTAACACCAGGAATGAAGAGTACTCACTGCAAATCACAGGATTGACTAATTCTTGAAAAAACAGACTGGCATCCAACTTTAATGCATAACATGTATCTCAGAGTCCTTTTTCTGGTTGCTGGGGGAGGTCATGTTGAAAGTGTCCCAAGGAGGAATAAACTGGTACTGTGCTGCACAAAGGATGGTATGTCCAACCATTTTTTTTTTTACACACTAACGACTTTTTAAAACTCACCGTAAACACCCTCTCTGGCTCGCCCTTGGCCCGCATGTTAGTGTCATGAACTTGCTTGAGGATCATCCAGGCTTCATCATGTTTACCAATCTGAAAACAGCAAAAAAAAAAAAAGAAAATAAATTTTGCAGTTCCCAGCTCTGTAATTTACAAAGCATAGAGAGAAGCCAATTCTAGAGGTTCAGTATAGAGAAGCACACATAAAGCATTGACTGCATTAAATGCAAATAGCTGAAAGCGTGGTTGTGTTCACAGGGTGCAGCATCTCTGTGCTGGGGAAAGGAGTTACCCTAAAACTGTCTGAGGCAGGAGAGGAATCAGGAACAGTGTTTTAAAACCAGATGAAAGAAGAGGAGATGAATGAGGAAACTTGGGCTCTAATCCCACCTCTGCTAAAATCTTGCAGGGTTAATTTGAGCTAGGTATCTCTGCATTTCACATCTGTGAAATGGGAATAAAGAATACCTGCATAAGAGCTCAGAGATTTATGTATTTTACTCAGTAAAATTTACTCTGTCCTTTGCTCTTCCACCAGGATTCAGAAGTTACATGTCCAAACTCTGTTTTCAAAATGCCTTTGTTGGACTTATAAAATTCCCAGCGCTCACCACCTTTTTTCTGTACCACATTTGGCAGTGAAACACCAGCCATCGTTGATTGACCTCGTAGTCTGTAGTCTTTGGGGTTTAAGCAATCTGTGGAGCTAGCGTAGACATGTAGGAGTGGTTTTGCCTCTGAGCTTGTGCTATATGTGTTTGATGGGACAAAGACAGACAGACAGTGAGGCATTAGGGACCAGATATCCTCCGCTAACATCAGACTGCAACGTTCAGATGAATCATCTTACCTCCAGCAAAAAACGCGGACTTTCAGGCATGAATTTCAGTGCCACCAGGGAGGCAATACAGGGCAGAGAGCAGACAAGCACAAAGACTCTCCAGCTGTGGAAGTGGTACTTGGTTCCCATACTGAACCCCCAGCCTGGAAACAGCAAGACCCAAAAAAGTAAAAATACTGACCAGGCATTCTGAGTTTTTCTTTCCTAAAGCAGCTCTGTATGACACAGGGACAGGTTGAAAGTTTGCTATTCTTAGTAATGTTGGCTCTTAGAGACCCAATAGCACGCTCAGGAGGTAACAGCAAGTGAGTTCATGTTCACTGCAGAAAATGGAACATTCTTGCTCAGGCTCTGCCTTTTAAAAACCTTCTTTTATCTTTGAGTTTAGAAGTCATCTAGCGATAAGAATAGCTCCATGCAGCTGTAGGCGAGTAAGGCTGGGAAAGGGTAGAGGAATCAGAGCCATAATTTATTGCTGCTCAGTAATGTTACAAAAAGTTTACAAAGGTTAAATCTTCTCTGATCTGAGAGACACATTAGGGATGGCTCCTTTCCATCTCGTACATCACACGTGTATTTCACATTTTATGGAAGCGAGCTAGGAGAGCAAGTTTATTTCTTTCCAGACCTACAAAACCTGAGCTGGGATTCAAACTTAGAAAAATCAAGATCCTAATCCTGCATTTGAGATTTCCCCCTCTCCTGTATTTTTCCTGATGCCTTACCAGGTCAGGTGCTCCCCTGCTAGGGACTAGAAAGTACAGCATCATTCTTACATTGCTCCAGTTACTTTCCCTAGGCTCAAATCTCAGAAGGAATGTTTAATTCGTTTTTTTTTCTATAAACATTTTTATTCACATAATAAGAAAATAATCAAGCAATGGTTTTTGCAGAGGCCTCATCTGAATCAGTCACGGTGTTCTACTCATTTCCCAAAGTTCCAAAATAGTAGGTGGAACATGGGAAAACAAAAAGAGAAGCTATAAAAACACAACATCAAAAAGTCATCTGAAAAGTAAATGTAATGTAAATATATAAGGGCTTTATAAAGTAAATGTAATTGCAGATAATACAATTATTTCAACCTGAGACCACTATGCAGTGAGTTTGCCTATTTGTTCCAGCAGCCTCTGTCACATCAATCAAAAGCAGGAACATTTCTTTATACTGAGTGTACTTTAAATATGGTAAAAATGGATTGATAGATAGGTACATGTTAGTGTTTTTCTTCATGGTCTTTATGGTCTGCCCTACTTTCCTCCAACAGGATTTTGCAAACAGCTGGTGTCACTGAATACTGGGGGAATTAATCTTTTCCAGTAGATATTTGTTTCTGATGTTGTCCTAGGATATGCACACGAGTTACAAGGAATACCATGTGACATGCAGATTTTTGCTCCCCAGAGCAAGGATAGGTTTCAGAGTCCACCGATCTGCCTTTTCTCTCCGTTTTCCAGCTCTGGGCAGGGAATCTATTCCACTCCTCAAACCAGTTAGGTGAAATCAGATGTGACTCCATCCCATCACATGCTGGGGAGATGTGTTGCCAGATACACAGCCCCAAGAGTGCTGACACTCAGCTAAGGAAAATAATGTGTGCTGTCTTCACTGCTATTATTCATGGACCCCAGTAATTCTCTGACTAAAGTTACTTATTTTTGATAACTGGATCAGCTCTTGCAATATAATCTCAGTCCAGTTTTCCCTGAATGCCCTGACATTTAGATTAAGAGCCCAGGCTCTGGCAGCATAATTCAAGGGGTGTATTTGAAGCTTTTGATGAAAAGCAGCCCCGATCGGTCCTATTTACAGCCTTAGTATCAGTCAATCAATCATGCAGTCAATTTATCCGACCTTTCGTGTGCACTTCAGGTGTCTATTATTTTTGGTGTTGTTTATGCTGGGATGTGTAAGGACTGACTAACACTACCCGTGGGGGCTGTTGGGGTAGTGCAGGAATGTGGTCTTGTCAAAAGTTAAAAGCACGAAGCAATTACCGTAATGTGGGATGATGCTCCAAGCCATTGCTGAAGCAAAAATGCCACCAATCATCCAGAACATGCAAAGCCAGCTCAGGTGTTCCCCTCTCTTCTCACGAGATAGGAATTCAGAGAAATAGGCAAACACGATGGGGAGGGATCCCCCAATACTGAGGAGAAAAAACAGCACATGGGAAGAATAATTGTCATCTTCAATGTTTTTGTAGTTAGGATTGCATACATAAAAAGATAAAGTCACACTCATAGACCTGCTGCACAAAGGTGAGACTTGTTGGAAAAAAGCAAATCTCTCTTTGGCTGGACTGGTGTTAGACATCAAAGATAAACAAGATCCTCCTCATGCTCTGAAAGCTGAATTTCCTGTACAGTTTATATAACATCTTCCCTGTTGTTATTTTGTGATCACTCATTTCGGGGAAGCACACTACGAGCAGGCAATGGGGACCGCTGAGGTTCTCATTGGAGGCCCTGGTAGCAAGGGTTGGAAAATGAGGTGGGCATTTATCAGTCTCACTCATCTTTCTGCACAATTTGGGCAGTACCAGAAGGGTGTCAATGAGCAAACTTTCTTACTGTTAACACTTTAAAGGTCAAGAGTAAGGTAATGGAAACACACACGCTAAACGGCAGCACCGTCCCAGCTCGGTACCAGAGATGTGTCCCTGGAGCAGCCCTCCTTCTCCCACCCCACACACCCAAGCTGCCAAGCTGTGACGGGACTCCTCCAGGACACAGGATGGATTCCACCCATCCGAGGGTATCCTTGAGTTACCCACCCGAGGCCGCAGATAAGGCGGCAGAAGAGGAAGAATCCATATCCCTGGACGAAGGAGGAGAGGAACGAGAAGGCAGCATTGATTGTAAGTGATATGATGAGGCATTGCTTTCTTCCCAGTTTATCAGCGAGGCCGCCCAGCATGACAGCCCCCACCATCATTCCTAAGTAGACTATCAAGCCTAGAGTAGAGACAGAGAGACAGTGAGTTTGGTTACTGGTACAAAAATTATGCAACGTAGAACCAGATTTTAAAGCACCCATATGGCAGCTGATGTCAACCAGGTATACTATGCAATAGAGATACCCTCATCCCCCCTGAATTAGCTATCTCAGGTGCCAGAAACTCTATCCATTGGTGAAACCTAGTTTCCTTATCTTCTGCCCATGAGTTTGCATCGCTCACTACTGCATTGCTTTGTGCAATACAGTCATACCCTCATTTGACCAGACCCACATCTTTATTTCCCAACCTCACTGCTCACATATCCCCTGCACGTAAGCAATGGCCAGGCATAAGCAGCTTAGGATACACGTGTCCTAGCTATGTGCCACCAACAATATAACAGAAGTCTGATGTCTTAACTCTGCTAACCCTCGAGCGCAATGGGACTGAGGATGTGTAGGGAAGAGGCTCTCTCTGGCTGCTGTTTGTACTCAGAAAGCTGTGAGAGCAGAGAGACTGCTAAAGCAGAGCTAAATCTCTTTGCAGGTTACCTATCCTACCCATGGTTCCTCTGCAGTCTGTCATCTCTTTCACTCTCTGCTTTTCCTAGCTTTATCTGAGAGGATCAGTCTGTTACTGAGACTGACCTTGCGTAGAACAGCTACTTCCTTCGCTACTGAGCCAAGATCTGGCACCTAACTAAAGGATAACTTACAGAAAAGAGTACAGTTTTGATCTCAGAATTTCAGTAGAAGGCAGAACCTACTGCTCATTTTCAGAGTTTGCACTAGAGAGCTGGCACTCTGATGTCGTTAAGAAAAATGGGTTCCGTTTTTTAACTTGACTTCATTAGATCTTCTACCATGGGGTTCTCAAAAGACAGTTTCAGTAAATATGTTTAGTGCCAGGCTGAATAGAAGAGAAGGGTTTCTTCTCTAAATAAGCTCCCTGTCCCCAGCTCGCTATGCGCTTGCAACTCTGGCCTGGAAAACATGGCAGTTGTCCTTGACTCTTCTATTGACAATGCCACTAGAAGGGCCACCTATTATATTGCCTTTTCCTTTATCTGGATATCAGCGTAAATAGCACTAATTAATAATGCTTACAGGTCCAGATTTTTTTTCTTAATCTACTTTCCAGCTGTAGATACTCAGTGAGTAAGAATATCACCAGGAATAACCACAAGCTATGGTTCTTTTGCTGGCAAAATTCCTGTCGAGGCCTGAAGGGGTTATGATATGAAAGGACAGCAGGATTAGATATTAAGCATTTAAAATCTAACAGCAATCAGTGCTGGAGGGCTGGAAACATTGATCAGCTAGATGAAAATTATTTGCACTGCTGTTAAGGAATAACATCTGGGAATTGATCAGTCTAGTAACTGGCAGCACACAGACCAGGTCTTTGAAGGCTTTATTGGCCCCTGGGCTTCAAATTTTTATTTTAGGCTTGGCTGTGAACAAATCTGTTCATTCATTCGAGCCAGGAAACATGTAAGGATGGAAGGGATCAGGCAGGAGCATATGTCTCCAAGATTCCTCTGAAAAAGCCCAGATGAGGCAAGAGCACAAGGAGAGAGACTATGCTCCTAAAGTTCTCCTGAGATTCACAGTGAAAAAGACAAAGACCTTCATGCTTTGTCCACTTGCTCTGTGTGGCTGAAGCTGCCTTTGCCTTAGCACTACAGGACCAAAACCACTTGGTGTCCAGGTGGCATTACAGCATGCTCTGATGACTCTGCCAGCTGCTAACATAGAAGGGCTTGGGGCAACACATCCAAACATGCCACTACTGCATTGGCAACTCCTCACCTACTAACCCACAAATGTCTCAGAGCTGTCTACTGAAAGCTACTGGTCCACAGAGTAGGAGCAGCGTCATCATTACTATATTTCAGAAGAAAGTGGTGGCAATCACTGTGTTTCCTGGAGAGGGGCAAGAGGCTGTTCCCAGAACACCTCCTATATCATCTCAGACACCATGGGCAGGATTATAGTCTACACCTATACACTGCACAGTCCTGCTGTTGAGATCCTGCTGGGGATTTGTTCATGGCTGGATGTGATCCAGAGGAGCTGAACTATGTCAGGATGGAGGAATATCTGCTAGCCAAAAAGCAGAACTTGCAGTGCAGGGGATTCTTGAAGAAAATAATTATGGTTGGAGATGCTTGGAGGCGGGGGGCATGTCAGGTCCAAGACCTGGCTGAGCAGGGGTTGAAAGAAATACCGTAACTCAAGAAAAGCATCAGTGTTCCCTGCATCCCTGGTCCCCAGTGAAGGCAACTGATGCAGAGCAAGTAAGTACATTGTCTTAATGGGAAACATTCCTATTTGCTGGCTGAAGAAATGCAGCTAAAAGAAACATTTTTCAGGCATGACTGAAGAATATCCCTTTGGAGGGTTAATCCTCACCTAGAACCAAGTGTTGACTTCTCTTGAGAGCCAACATCTTCCCCAGGACCTGTTCTGTCAAAGACATCACTTGGGAAACAAGGTGACAATGAATTTTTTTGCAATTCGTTAACATTTAAACACGACCATCAATTTGATGGCTGAAGGCTGCTCTATGCCATCCAGCAAAGCTGGCTAAGGACTAATGCAGAGTTATTTGGCAGCTGACTCTGTCTTTCGGTTGTGAATGCCTACACATGATTTGAAATGCATTACTAAATTAAAAGCTATGCAGCAGGGAGCCACTGCAGCATTTGAAGGATGCTTGTCTCACGTTGATCAGAAGTGGAAATTTTTGGACTTCTGAAATCTCCCCCATTCCATAGCAGAGCAGTGGGGTCACCCCTCTGTGAATGGTTCTTTCTTTTCTATCCACACGATATCTAATGGGCAATCAGGATTTTGTGTGTTCAAGGCAAAAAAAATCTGTTCTTGCCTCTTAACAGCCTTTGCACCACAACCATGGGATAGGATTTTGATAGCACTCTCCCCCATTCCATAGCAGAGCAGTGGGGTTGCATCTCTGTGAATGGTTCTTTCTTTTCTATGCACACAATGTCTAATGGGCAATCAGGATTTTGTGTGTTAAAGGCAAAAAAATCTGTTCTAAACAGCCTTTGCATCACAACCATGGGATAGGATTTTGCTAGCACAATTGAATCATAGAATGGTTTGGGCTGGAAGAGACCTTAAAGATTATCAAGTTCCAACCCCCTGCCATGGTCAGGGACACCTCCCACTAGACGAGGTTGTTCAAAACCCCGTCCAACCTGGCCTTGAACACCTCCAGGGATGGTGTAGCTACAGCTTCTCTGGACAACCTGTTCCAGCGTCTCACCACTCTCACAGTAAAGAATTTCTTCCTAATATCTAATCTAAATCTTCCCTCCTTCAGTTTAATACCATTACCTCTCATCCTATCACTATACTCCCCGATAAAGAGTCCCTCCCCATCTCTCCTGTAGGCCCCCTTTAGGTATTGGAAGGCCACTATAAGGTGTCCCTGCTGTAAGGTCCCTCCACCATAAGCATGTAGCTCTGTGCAATCAATACCCACTCTGCCTGCCCTACCCTCCTCTCCCAAGCTGTCCTGGTGAGGTGATCTGAAGGTGCATAAAGGTTTCAGATACTGATCTGCAGCAGAGAGGGAAGATACACACTCAGCTGGGAATCTGGGATCTTTTTCTCTACTGGCTTTGGTCTCCAGCTTCTTCGCTGAAGCGCAAATTACAAGGGAGAGCTGAGGTAAAAAACTGTTTCAGTCCAAAATCTTTCTGAAGGAGGAATCTTAATGCAGCGCTGGAAGGCTTAATGCTTTTACCCTGGCTCCTGAGCTACATTTAATGGAGCAGCTCTGATTGCAGCCAGCAGACGGAAGCGATGATGCTCCCCGTATCTGCTCACTGGTGTGTCGCAGCCACCCATCTGAGTGAGCCCTGCCAGCACCGCACCAGGGGCTCATGGCACAGCCCAGCCCACCCCACCAGACCCTGACGAGGAAGAAAAAACGATCTGCCAGAGTTTGCCAGAGTTCATTTTTTCTCTCTTTTTTTTCTTTTTTTCTTCTTTTTTTTTTGTTTTGCATTGGTTTGTAAATCCCTGGATGGCAGATGTTCATCCAAATCCTCTTAATAACAGAAAATGTCCCAGGTCTGGAGGAGGCGGAGGAGGTCGTTACTGTTTTCTAGATGATTTATTTTATCTAGGTGACTTATTGCAGCCGAGTATGCTGTCGGCAGCAGGGCAGCCAGCTCTCTGGACAGGGCAATGGTGGGCTCGGCATGGGACGTGGCAGTGTGTGAAACTGGGTATCAAGAAGTGGAGCGGAGCTGCTTTTGTGGGCAAACCTCTGCAGATTCTGCCTGAGGAGCCCAAACTTGTGATGGAAGGGAAAATTATCTCTCTGCAACACAGCATCCATGTGGCTTTAATTGGTTCTCGTACGTGATAAACCAATGGGTGCATTGTCCCTGAGAAATTTAAAACAATGAAAATCTGTGGTGAAGGAAACCTCAGGGACAACCAGAGACTGACTGCTTGGCCAGCTTCTGAAGAGAAGGGTCCCTGGTATAGAAATGTTTGCTTCAAGGCTCGAACAAAATCAGCAGGACACTTTGTTATGATAGAGAGGTCTCTTTTGGGAAGACTGCATGTCCTGGCCAATATCATTAAACCTTTTAGGGTAGCTGCTATAAAACACTCTGTCATCTGATGGAGCTTGGGACCCAAGGTGCAGAACAGCAAACATCAGGCTTTGCAGATTGTTGTGTCCTGGGTTAACAACAAGGTGGCAGGGACCCAGGGAGGAGTGGAATAGTTACTCATACAGTCTCCAAGAGGGAGAGACAGTCTTCTGGAGAACATAGTGATGGTCGTTACCTCTGAAAGAGATCCAGCTCCTATCAAAGCAATTTGAATTTTAAGGGGAATTAGACCAAGAAAAGCGATCACTAAACGGTATTTCTTTTGCTGTTTTACTTCTGCCCACCAAATATTCTACAAAACACCGTTACAATGGTCCGTACCAGAAACTGGACTTCAAACCTCAGCTTTAAACCCTGCA